ACACCATGTGCACACTCTAGTGGGCAGATTAGGGCCACTAGAACCCACATGGACCGGCGACCATTCCGAGCGGATACTGATAATACATACCTCAAACATGGTAAAATAATTATAATCAATGTAATACCCAGTCTGAATTCCCACCTGATTCGTCTGAATAAAAAGGCAGTGCTGACAATCGTATTCTGATCAAACTGAAAATAATATAAACAATTACTAAATACTATGCTCAAACTGATAGAAAAACTTTTTAAATATGTTAAGATGCTCTACTGGACTTAAACATGATTTACTGATTTAACCGGTATAACCGGAACCGGCTAAAATCAGAATTGAACTGACATGAATTTACTGAACTGAACCGGACACGAAAATTGACTGAAAGTGGGACTGAAATCATGAACCGGGACTTAAATATTAATTTATAGGTCAAACCAGTCCAAACCGGTCTGAACCGGTCCAGCCGAAACGGTTTGGCCGAACCGCCGGTCAGCTGGGGCCGGGCGGTCGGTGGCTGAATCGGCCGACGGCCTGTTAAGGCCGCGGGCACAGGCTGTGCACGGACACGGCACTGCCATGCTTCATGGGTTATGGCTGGTTGCAGCATGGGTGCTCGTACACGCTGGCGTGCGTCTAACGCCACTTGCATGCGCATGGAATAACCTTCGGACACCGCTGAGTGTTGCTGAAGGTTAACTGAGCATGACCTGAACTGCTGGCGTGCGACTGGGGCGTCGTAGTCCTGACTCTGGCGTTGGCGTGCGTCGCACATACGGGTTGATGTTCTGGCGCTGTCTTGCGCTATATGCGCTGGCACCAAGCGCCGCTGATCGCTGTCGGGCACTACCATGCACCGCGACAGGTACCTGGACATGAGAACGTGCACGCAGATGCTGATTGGACATGATGGGGTACCGCGCGGGTGCTGCCGTGCGATCTTCGCGGTACTGGCTACTTGGTTGGCCTTTTTGGCCGCCGCCGCCGAGGCCAACTGACATGCGAACTTGCACACTGGCGGGCGCTACTGCACAGTACCGTGCGCTACTTGCTGCTACTGTGGACTGACTATGCGCGACACCTGCCCACGCACGTCGCCTGCGGACACAGCTGGCCTGCCGGCGTGCACCACCTGCTGCGTGCGGGCATGGCAACTACGACCGATCCTTATCGGTCGTCCGGCAATACCTTCTGGCAACTCCCACTTAATTCAACATGACTAAACATATCACAATCAAATTAATCGAATTTACTTAAATTCATGACTTCTTGCCCGATGACCTAACATGGCCGGTGGCGTGCTCCCGTGCGCTGCCTACGGCTCTTAAGCCGTTTTCTCGACCAACTTGAAAACCTCTCGACTAACTTGAATTAACTGAGTATAAAATGACATATTATGATCAAGAAAATATAAATTGCTCGGGAGTTGTCGGTAAAAACGAATATCACACGGTCACGGCCTAACATGGCCTAACCGAGCCTAATTTGGCTTTTCGTGATCCTTATGACATGAATTAAACATGATGAGCTTAAAATGATTACATGAACGTGGTTAGAAGATGATGAGGACGTTACCTCCTCGAATTCTGAATCAAATGGCACAAGATTTTGCTAAAATGCTTGGCCTCAGTAGTACCATGCGTGTGCGTGTGTGCTTCCTTTGCCTCCTTCCTTCCGTGCGTTAGCTTGGATTAATTATTTCTTAACTTATCTTAACTTATTGCTGAGTACTAATATTAGTGTAGGGTAAAATTTACCCCAAACACTACACATAAATAGGGGCCAAATCATGGTGAAGTTTGGGAGGAAAAATGCTAGCCAATCCTCTTTCACCACTTGCTCACTATCTAAGGCTTTAGGTGTAATTTTTGTGGCTTAGTCATCCTCTTAAGCCTTAGATGAGGGCCACATAAGGTAAGTGAAATGATGATGGTCAAGAAAATTTGACCATGCTTCCAAAACTTACGGCCATCATGTGTACTAAATATTCTTAAGTGGACTTAGTACCACTTAAGTGTGATCATGCCAATATAATTGACCTTTGGTGCTATGCACAATTAGCGTGTATAAACTATGCTTACACTAACCATCCTCGGCCATTAACATGAATTAAGGGAAAGTGATTGCCGATTATCTCGGTAATATATATATCGGGTGATTAGACATGAATTAACTGTCGGAATTTATTCCGAGCATGAACGTGATATTCGAAAATTAATTCGAACGTCCTTGACTGAAATAAATAGTTCCGAATGATAACGCTTAATAAAATAAATATTCTGGAACTAAACATGATATTATATTAATTACATGAAGGGATATTACAATAAATATAATAATTAAACTTGATTAATATAATTTATCTTATAGTTATGATTATTAGAAATATGTGAATGTGTGTATTATGTGTTCCTTGTTAAAAATTACATGATAAGGGTTGATTTCTGTCTCTTAATTATATTAGTGAGATTATAGAAAAATAAAGGGAATGAGATTGACTAATAATCGGTTTATTCAATTTAAATTCCATAAAATATTTGGAGTTTTCACTAAATTTGGGGTACATTTGGAAGTGGAGTTCTTGTCGGCCACGTGGGGCCACGGACTGCACGCATTGGCATCAATAAATAACACTATATTTTTGTTTTAAAAGTTCTATTACGAATTAATATAAGATTCTCTCTTGGAGAGCTAAGATTCTTTCTTTGAGAGTTAAGATTATTCTTCGATCTTCAATCTCGGTTCCACTGATCGCCGTTTATCTTCCCCCCTTTCTTCTTGTAGTTTGGCCGCTATTTAGCTTCCCTGTTCCCATCCTTATTGTGTTTCCCCTTCATCATCGATTTCACCATCTAGGTTTTTGGTATTATGTCCGATTTTGATGAACTCTCTGACCGATTAAACAAGTTCTCGCTCTTAGCAAACGACGCCACGATTTTTGATATTGCTCAGCATGACATTAAATTCAGTGATGATGAATGCATAAGAAGTCTCTTTGGCAAAATTTTTGTAGATAAACCAGCAAGCTGGATTGGCATCAAGGGAGCCATGTCCCAAATCTGGAAGCGTAGTCATCCAATGGAGGTAAAAGAACTCAGTCCAAACTACTTCCAATTTATTTTTCAAAATTGAGATGACATGAAGAAAGTGGCAAATGGTACAAACTAGAACTTTGAGAATCAGTATCTCATTGTCAAATAGTGGACCACAAATATCAACAACAAACATTCTAGTTTTCATGAGCTCAATCTCTCGGTCCAGATTCAAAATATTCCCCTTAATTGGCTTAGCACCGAAGTGGGACTTAAGATTGGGAAGGCTTTTAAGGGCCTGAAAAATGTGGTTATAGCTACCACAGGCAATCACAGGGGTAATCTTCTAAGACTTTTGGTAACTTTGAATGTGGATGAGCCTCTACCTAGAGTAGCTAAAGTTCGACTTGGGGATCAAATTGTGAATGGTGGTTTTAAGTACGAACAACTGATTAATCTCTGCCACTACTGTGGAAAAATCGGGCATAAAAAAAATGGAAGACGTTAGCAACAATTCTCTCCAAGAGGGTCAGTATGGCGATTGGATGAGGGTTGTTGATGGTTACAAATGGGCTCCTGTTAGCCTATCAGGCTCAAGATCATCTCCTCCACCAGAATCCCCAAAAGCAGCAGATTATGGGACATCTCAAAAAGCCTCATTTAGCCAATATGAGGAAAACAACCAGTTAATTCCCGAGCAATGGGGACACTGCATCCCCTGCAAAATTCATAGGAGCTACTTCTTTGGTCTCAGCTACTCAAACTCCAGCCCAAGAAGAGGAAAATGAAGTTTTCAATCTTCAAATAATTGATGTAACACCCCGCCTAGACTTATTAAAATCCGAGTAATATTTCCACGCTATAAAAAGAAAGCTCTGATTTAATTTTCGAAAACTCATTAATTTTTCGAAAATACTTTAACTTTAATATGCGGGATGCTACTCAACTTTAATCTAAAATCTTTAATCATTAATATGTTTAAACTACTAGGCATGAAACCGAGTACAATTCATTACTCTAATAAGCTGTCATGAACATCTCAGGATTTAAGAATACATAGGCTGAAATTTTATGTACTGTAATACTAGTGCAGAAGCAAATGCAAGTATGCGTCAACAAAGCACAATAATAACTCAAACATGTTCAGATATACATGACATGTTTACTAAAAATATCTTTGCTATGACCACCACCACATCATCAGCTCACACTCCACGCTCAACACCATCATCTGAAAAATGGTTAGTGGGGACGTGAGCATAAATGACTCAACGATGCTCCGCGGGAACTGGCACGGAAATATACAGCTAATATAATAACATATCATGACATCGGAATATATACAAGTATTTACTGAGTCGACAAAAACAATATGATGATGAACATTTTACTAACGGATCGAGGATTAAACATTCATCCAATAAATACTTAAATCGGCAACTATCTATAGTTGCTACTTAACTGACTGCCTATAACTGTTGTTCAGCTGACTGACTATAATGGATGCTCGACTGGCTGACTATAACTACTACTCAACTGACTAACTATAATGGCTGCTCGACTGGCTGACTATAATTGCTGCTTAACTGACTAACTATAACTGCTGCTCAACTGACTAACTATAATGGCTGCTCAACTGACTAACTATAATTCTTGCTCGGCTGACTGACTATAACTGCAACAATGCGAACTAAATATACCTCTGAAATGATAAGCACATCACAACCTAAGCATACATCTAATATGATAAAACACATCACAACCTAAACATACATCTAGTATGGTAGAACACATCACAAACGCGTATAATAAGTATACTATCTATAACTGGCGCTCAACTGACTATCTATAATTAATGCTCAACTGACTGCTTAACTGACGAGAAGGACAGTTGATCTTCACGCTCGCGATAAGCAACTGTAGGACCTAATTTGTAGGTCGTTGCCACATACTAGGGCAAAATAACTCTTATGCACTTCTAAGGTTGGAGCTTAACTCACAATTGCACTAGAGTCCTTGATACTAACTGGAATTCGAAACACTTGATTATGACGAAACCTGTCTCTAGGTCAAAGCCCTTTGGGGAAGAATTATTCTAACCTCGTCGAAAATTCAAATTAACTCAAAGTTGCACTAGAATTCTTATCTCATCTAAACTAGCATTCGATTCACTTAGCTAGAAAGTACCTACTCACTAGGTAATTGCCCCTATTCGGGCGGACTCTTACATACATACCTCAGCCTGGATATTGCGATTATAGAGATTGTAGTACCCAGTACAGGGTCCCCACCTGATATGTTGAAGTGCAAGTGCTAAATGGTTTTGCAACTGTCGGAGGCTCGACTCTCCACAAGCTACAAAATATATAAGCACAAATTATATTCTAAGTAATAAGCTTAAACTAAAAAACTTGAATCTTATCTGATTTGTGTAGGTTCGCTCACTCGACTTTAAAAATCATTTAAGGGATTTACGAGCTGATTTTTGAAAAGTTATTGTCTTTGAGGCATACTAAAGTTCTATGAAATATTTCTAAGTCTAGAATTATATTCTGACTGGCTTCCAATCTGACTAGTTCAGAAAAATACTGAAACCCTCGATTCACGCACAAACCGATGTTTGTTCAGACTCCCCGGATTGATTCGGCTAAACTGAAATTAAATCTGACTGAAATTTATCTAAAATATATCTGGATATATATATATATATATATATATGAAATTTCTCGAACTGTCCAAACTGCCAGACTGATTCAGTTGAACTGAAATTCTCTTCGAACCGTCCGGACTGCCCGAACTGGTTCTATTGAACTGGACCGACGGCTTACTCGAAGCCGGTCGATTATTCGTTTGACTATGTGCAGCTCCGTTTGACAGTGGTCCGGGTTCGGCGTGGCTACTCAGGGTCGGCACGAACTCGACTGACACGGCTTAGCCGATGCATGGATTTGAAACTGTGCCACGGTCACTGACGCATCGGTGTACTTGGACCACGTGCTCGAATGGACTCGATGCATGGGCACGCACTAGACGGTTCGGCTCAACGGTCATACGAGAGTCGAATACGTGTGCCGGATCACGATACGCTTTACGAATTAATGTT